CAAACTCGGTGGTTTCTAATCCAAGGGGAAAGGTAGATACATCCTCATGTACAGTATATATGAGAAATGATCAGGAAAAAATGATGAAAAATATCTGATGTGCCCCATGTGCTTAGGTGGACCATATGGGCAACAATCAATATCGGAAAAAGGGAGGGAAAACAATAAAGCAATAAATGGTATCTGACCAAAAATACCCAACTCTATCCATCACCAATGAACTCCCGCTAATCGCGTATCCTAATACTCCTAAATGGCACGTTTCCAACGGTACCAATATCGTCCAAATCGGTGCAGTGGTTGCTGAGATAAGTGAAATCCTAGCTGAGTATGGCTGTGCTGCTGGGTGGGTGGGAATTTGGTCTGTGGGGACAGGAAATGTGTCTGAAAAAATTGGGAAAAATCATGGAAGGGTAGGAATAGTATATGAGGACGTATATGATGTGTTTCATGAAGTGGGGATGTGCAGGGATGGGGAAATCACAATATTCGGTTTGTTTGTGCAGTACTGGCTGTGCCTGCCTATAGTGTTCCTTTGCACCTTCTTGGGCCTTTAGCCTGAGAAGAAGTTGTTCTTTGTTTCCCATCCTCCATTCGGATGGAACCTGGAACAAGTCCAGTAATTTGTTGGATAGCTGATGTGGAGGTTCTTCCCTCTGTTTCCCTTTGTCTGCCTTTGGGGCTGGACTTGGGGAAATGGGGGAAGACTCCAGGGGATAGTGGGGCCCTGGAGTTTCCTGCAACTGTATCCAATCAGCTGTTTGGGCTGATTGTTTGGCACTTACGCATTTATTGCACAGGTCAATCACCTCCTCTGGAGGCAAGAGATCTTCCCCAACTTGGGTGAGATCGATGTGACATGGAGTTCTAGGGGTATTGGGCCCTGCACTTACTCCACGTAAGTTTTTAAAACCCTCAGGGACCAGCCCCAAAGTGGTTGTTCTTTCTGGATCATGTTGATCCTCATTGTCATCTGATGATGGCTGTTGTTTTGAATCTCCCATAATGGGAGCTTGTGGTTTCTTTATAAACTGCTCATTCTTCTTTATTGTCACTGCAGATGTGACTTTGCCCTTGCGGGTGTGTTTTGGCACCATTGGCACTACCAAGTCAGATTGATGTAGATAAGTTGTGTGGGTTGTGTTTTTGTAAAACACACCTCATACACTTAAAAAAGTGTGAGGTCTCAGTGGGGTTGCTCAGCACACGAGGCCATAAGTGATACAATGGTATGTATTTTACGATGTGTGTAAGCAGTTCAGTTCCTGCTTACCCACATGACTTTATGTACATCATAATTACATATGGCTTGGGGTTTGGGGCTATTGCCCTGACAGATTTGCTGAGCTTCTACAGCACTGATGATGAAGAGCCAGTTTATTCCAAGAAAGACCTCCACAAGTTGGTGGAGAAAGACTGCAAGATGAGATGCCTAGAGCACCTTGCACGTTACCAGCGAAAGTTCTGCATAATCACTGCGAGTTTGGAAGCAAAGAACACCCTTACCACCTCAGAGCATTGTAAGCAGGCTAGGGATCTAACCCAGCAGCAAACAGGAAAGGGATGGGGACTGGATTGGTATCCAGCAGGTCAGGAAAAAGGGGGGGTTTGGTAATGGTAAATATGGTCCGGTGCGGTGCATGGTGTACTCCAATCAATCTCTCACCCCACCTCTCTGGGTGACACTAAGGCAAGGACTGATCTAGAGGTCTTCTTAGTGATCTTCTATGTCGTACTACTCCCTGCTAGCTTGGGAGGGGCAAACTTGGTGGTTTCTAATCCAAAGGAAAAAGTAGATACATCCTCATGTACAGGTATATATGAGAAATGATCAAATAAAAATGAAGGAAAATATCCGATGAGTCCCATGTGCTCAGGTGGATCATATGGGCAACAAACAATATCGGAAAAAGGAAGGGAAAACAATAATCAAGAAAACAATAAAGCAATAAATGATTTCCAGCCAAGAAATATCCAACTCTATCCATCACCAATCAACTCCCGCTAATCGTGGATCCTAATACTCCTAAATGACGCGTTTCCAACGGTACCAATATCGTCCAAATCGGTGCAGTGGTTGCTGAGATAAGTGAAATCCAGTGTGAGTGTGGCCGCGCTGCTGGGTGGGCATGGGAATTTGGTCTGTGGGGACTGGGAATGTGTATGGAAAAATAGGAAGAAATCATGGAAGGGTAGGAATAGTATATGAGGACGTGTATGATGTGTTTCGTGAAGTGGGGATGTGCAGGGATGGGGAAATCGCGATATTCAGTTTGTTTGTGCAGTACCAGCTGTGCCTGCCTACAGCGTGATGACCTATTTTACCAAGGATTCCTGTCCAAGTTCAGACACAAATTCAGGTATGACCTCAAGGTTCAAGGCCTGTGGTCTGATTCGACCCAGCCTCCCCATATGAACGATGTGGTGGCAGTTGCATGAGAACTGCTCCGAGACGATTCATACAACATTGACTTTGACATGAAGTCTGAGCCAGTCAATAACTTGGCTGACAGATGTGATAGCAAGACCCTGTATCAGATAGAAGAACAGAGTTCCATGCATACTGTGTTCCCAGCACAACCTGCAGATCAGAGCGACGTTATGCCTGAGTTTGGCACAGACACAAGTTCCAATGTCCAAGATACTCCAAGCAGAGAGTTGGCAGTCAAACAATGTGAATCCCATGGCCTAGAGGGCTCAGCTGTCCATGAAGAAGCTTTGCCACCATGTAGGAATACTCCAGCGCTCCAAGAGTGGACGGATGACCAGAGCGCATTGATGCATGTTGCATATCCTTTGGATCCCACTTGTGATGTCTCTGAGTTAAGTTGAATGGACTTTTTGAAGTCCATGCCAATGTCCCAGAAGTTCCCTTAGTGGAGTGCACACCAGTTGTTCGAAGTTGAAGTCAGAAGCGAAGTGCTGCAAACTGAATTGAGTCAAGTTCACATTCAGTCTGAAGCCAATCATGCACTGATTGCTGCATCCATCTCTAGCGCTGAGAGCCTAGAATCCAGCACTTATGACCAACTAGAGAGCCTTGTTGAAGTACCAGAGCTAGTGTTGGAGAATATAATATGTTCCCACATCAGCAAAAAATTGTTATGCTCCTGAGTGCTCCGGAGTATCGAGAGCACTGGGAGAATCAGGAGGAGATTGGCTGGTCCAGGAACAGCCCATTTCCTCCGGAGTTGGCTAGGTACTCCAGGGCACTCCCAGGAGGGCCTGGAGCATTGCTTTGTGCACAAACATATCCAGTAAATACAATTTAAATGCTTCAAAGTGTATAGGGGTGAGAAGCTTCTGGGAGCTCCTGGAGCATTTGAAAATGAAAAGGAAAAAAAGAGGGAAGATCCCCCATGAATACCTCCTACCACAAGACTAACACAACAAGACACTGCTTAACATTTAGATCAAACACTATACTATATATCAAGGACACTGAGACTCACCAATACACAATCAAAATTTATGGCCTGATATATGATTAATCTGGCAACTTAATCACTTTCGGGCTGGCAGAATATGGGGGAGGGGGAAATGGGGGAGAATGAGGGGGGGAAATGAGGGGGAAATGAGGGGGAGAATGAGGGGAGAATGAGGGGGAGAATGAGGGGGGGGAATGAGGGGGGGAATGAGGGGGGGAATGAGGGGGGGATATAGAGGGAAATGAGGAAAATTTGAAAATAGGGACTTCTAAAAAGTTGAAAAAAATAATTAGGGAAAAAATCAAAAAAAAATTCAGGAACTGTAGTGCCTTTGAAGTGCTTTCAGGATATATAATTATTTGCAAAATCGAGGAAGAAATGATGGAGAAAAATGGAAAATACTTTCGGAGACCCGAGAAATAATGAGAACTGAATTGATGGGAAAGTCTGGAAATTGAATAGGGAAGTGAGGGGAAGCCTTGTAGCATTGTTATTTTCTGCTGTTCTAATTTTTCCTGATTGTTCTTGGTCTCACTCCCAGCTGCTACTGGATACTCCTGGATGCTCCTGGAAGCTCCTGGGAGGGTCCAGGAGCAGCTAATGGAAAATACTTTTGGAGACCCAAGAACTGAATTGATGGGAAAGTCTGAAAATTGAATAGGAAAGTGAGGGGAAGCCTTGTAGCATTGTTATTTTCTGCTGTTCTGATTTTTCCTGATTCTTCTTGGTCTCATTCCCAGCTGCTCCTCAATACTCCTGGAAGCTCCTGAAAGCTCCTGGGAGGGTCCAGGAGCAGCTGGGAGTGAGACCAAGAACAATCAGGAAAAATCAGAACAGCAGAAAATAACAATGCTTACAAGGCTTCCCCTCACTTTCCTATTCAATTTTCAGACTTTCCCATCAATTCAGTTCTCATTATTTCTCGGGTCTCCGAAAGTATTTTCCATTTTTCTCCATCATTTCTTCCTCAATTTTGCAAATAATTATATGTCCTGAAAGCACTTTAAAGGCACTATAGTTCCTGATTTTTTTTTTTGATTTTTCCCAAAAAAATTTTTTTCAACTTTTTAGAGACCAAAATTTTCCTCCCACTGCTCCAGGCACATTACATACTCCTCACCACTCCCAGCTGCTCCTGAACCCCCTCCCAGGAGAACACTATTGGCTCCAGGAGTGCCCAATCTGCTGTTTTGTCTCCCACATGCTCCAGCCACTCTTGATGCTCCGGAGCATAACGGACTTTTGCTGATGCAATAGTATAGAGTTTAACAGCCTATACTGGCATGGCTCAAGGGTGAGTAGTGTATGGATGCATGCTAGAGGTCCTGGGTTCGATACCAGGCTTGTCCATGATTTTATGTCCTTGCCACGTGACCTGGATTTGAAGCCATTTGAATTGGAGCTCCAGATAAGTCCAGTAGTCACACTGGATACAATTTTGACAGCTAGAAGCAAAAGAGCTTAGGCCTATCGGCCTTGAATGCACCTCAGATCCACAAATTTGTGAAGATAACTTAGCTCCTCAGGGAGACTGCCCACACATGCTCAGACAAAGTTAGACTACCTCATACGATGGAGGCGATGACTTTTATTGACAAGAAAGAGCTGATTGACTCAAGCGTGATGACTTTGAACCTGCGAGCCTTTGACCCACACCTGGTCTTAAATTCCACTCAGGAACTGGGGTGGCAACGATCTGATGTGACCCCTAGTGATACTACAGTGGCCAGAGAGCCTCTAGCTGATGATGCAGACACTCTTGTGACAAGCATTGAGCCTGGAGTGTTGCTCACATTCCTGAATGCGACCACATACTATCCAATCTCCGAGTTTGAGTTGGAATTTGCAGTTATGCACAATGCGAATGGACATTTGATGCCAGACGATTGCTATCATCCATCGTATGAACCAAAGGAGAGCAGCACTTCAGTACCTGATCATGGCCAGAGCCCCGCACATGGCAGAATAAGTGCCCAGTTAGTGAAGATGGCGAAATTGATCCTGGAATCGAGCTCAACGTGACCAGAGCCATTCCAGAAGTGCAGGGAGATTCCCAGCACTTCGTTTCATGCGATGTACCAATTGCCAGCCAGAGTTCTGTGCAACTTGAACCCAAGTTCAGTGGGGATCTTGAGATTGAGCCCCAGGATTGCACACTGATGAGAAAATGTGATGAGATGCAACCCAGTCCAGTCTAGAGCAGTGTAGCGGCGGCCCAAGTAGTCGACCTAGCTGCTGCAGCCATCGATTTTGAGCACCCAAGAGATCCAGCTAGCGCAAAGCTCAGATTGAGTCCATGTCGTGTAGCACAGATGTGCCATGAGTGTAGAGTCAAGCCAGACAAGAGCCTTAGAGCCTCAGACTCTTCTAGTTTGCGCATAAATGCCAGACTAGTTAAGAATGAAGTCATGGTCTCAAGTGCTGAGACTGAGCCTGAAGAGAATGATGGTGCTGAGTAGGGGTGCTGTGGTTTGGTTCAGTTCAGTTCTGGGGCAATCTTTTGAGAACCAGAACTGAACCGGTTCTGTGTTTGGGCAATGATGTCAAACCAGAACCGAACCAGTATACGAACTGAACCGAACCACAACTTGGTTCTGGAACGGTTCGGTTCGGTTTTGGAATGGTTCAAGCAAGCCTTGTATTACTGTCCAAGTTAATTATTGTAATTACACTACGAAGTGCACTAATAATACTCAGAACACAAAATTTCAACCAAACATTCATCAGGAAACCCCCAAGGCTGATTGACATGATTGAGACCGTTTCAAGCTCACATAATTTACAATCACTGCAATCAGGTCCCCTGATTGAGCTCATTGTACTGATTGTAATAATCATACTAATTCTTCTGCATATTCAAGTTCATCGGTAAAATTATTATATTCGAAAATTATGTTATGTACATACAGTCATACTTGGAAAAGAGCCAAGATCAAGTAACTAATACCACAACAAAATGGTGCAAAGAGGAAGGGTGAAAATGCATGTAACTAAAGAAAGCAAATGCGCGCGTCAACCGCTGGACCATTTGGAACGAAACTCAGTGGGAAGGTGGAACTGAATCTCCTCTATCGAACAGGCCTAGGTTCATCGGAAACAGATGTGTGGTTGTTGAGTACATGCAGTAAGAAGTTGGGGTTAGTGAAATATGATATAATTAAAGAAAGCAAACGCGCACCTTAACCGCTGGATCGTTTGGCACCAAAATCAGTGAGAAGATGGAGCTGGATCTCCTCTAGCGAACGAGCCTAGAATCGTCGGAAACGGATGCATCGTTGTTGAGTTACATGCAGTAAGAAGTTGGGGTTAGTGAAATACAACATAATTAAAGAAAGCAGACGCGCACCTCAACCGCTGGACCATTCGGCACCAAGCTCGGCAGAATGGTAGAGGTAAACTTTCTCTATCGAACGAGCTCAAAGTCGTCAGAAACGGATGGGTGGTTGTCGAGTACATGGGTAAAAACTTGGGGTTAGTGAAATACAATATAATCAAAGAATGCAGACATGCACCTCAACATTTGGCACCAAACTTGGCAAAGGGATAGAGCTAGATTTTCTCTATCGAACGAGCTCAAAGTTGTCGAAAACAGATGGGTGGTTGTCGAGTAAATGCAGGAAGAAGTTGGGGGGAGTGTCGTGTGTGAGAAGTTGGGGTAGGAGGATGGAAATGACTTCGGGAAGGGTTGAGTGACTGTGAAGGGGTGTTGGCCCATGAACACAACATCTGGAGAGTGGAGCAAAAAAATATCATGTTGCACAGTAAAGAGACATCAGTGTAGATAGTGCAAGGTGGAGTGAAAAAAAAAGTTCCAAGTTGCAAACCAATTCATTTGAAAACTGTACAGCACCTGGATGCAAACAGTGGACTTGTGATTCGGATGATTGGGATGATTGAGAGTAGTCGATTGGCAGATTGAGCGATTGAATTGCTCTCAATCACCTCAATCGGCCTCGGGAGTTTCCTGATGTTAAGAATCTAGGTTGATTCCCACTCTCAATCTCTCTGCAGACATGCGGCCATATTCACACCACTCTTGAGTCTTCACTGCCTCTGAGGTCTTCTTTGCTTCCCTTTCCTCACAATAACGATGCTGTATATCGGCCTTGGCGATTTGGATAGCATTAAGGTGCTCAGGAGTGAGGCAATTCCGATTGTCGTTGTCAGTGTGTTTCACAGCAGAAAATGCCCTTTCACACGGAATGGACAAGGCTGGAACCGAAAGTAAGTCCTGAGCAATAGACATTAAAACCGGATATGCGGCGCCTTTTTTCTGGAAGTTGGAAAGGATAAGTCCAGGTTGCAGTTGAGATCAAAATGAGTGCTAGCAACACGGCTTACCATCCAGAAGTTGAGAATGTCGGTTCCTGGCAATTCAAGTGGTTCAATAAGATAACGTTCGAGTTCCACACAAGGATCATCACTTGAGATTTCTTGGGCACGTCGAGCTTGACTGGCTGCAAGACAGCATGAAAGGCCATATACTTCATCAGTTGAGGAAGCAATTGGCACTATCATCTGAACAGTATTGCCTCCGTTTGTTCCAGTCGCAATTGAGGTAGCAGCCTGAGACCGGGTTGCATGTGCTGAACAGTACTCAAGAAACTTGTAGCAGTCAGCAACAATCAAATTTAGGGGATCTTAGTAGAACATACGATGTTGCACACAGTCCGTATTGCAGCTGGTATTGATGCACAAAATAATGCTTGATATATGAATCCTTTGTCATTGGATCAAGAACTAGATGAATGAGTCATCAATGCAATCCTATTCAAGAGTTTGGAAAGATACCTGTGCTGAGAACTGCAAGAGGTGATGCATCTGTGAAGGGTTTCTTACTATTTTGGGGAGGGTAACGTTCCATTCCCCCGTTCGCCTCAGGCCTCAGTAGGTCCATCTAAACATAAGCTTTGATGAGCTGTATATTCAATGGGGTAGAGGTAAAAGGCTACCAGGCCTTTACAACTACTCTGAGGTATATATATGTAATTTACATATCTCGGCACAAATAAATAAATAAAGAACAGCATCACTATAATCAGAATTATAGTGAAGTAAGGTTAATCCCTTACTGTTAGAATGGGCGGATTCGGACGACTCCGGAGTGGAATCGGAGACTTAGCGTGGAAGGACCTCGGCCTCAGCGACTCAGGTGGAGCGCTGTGCCATTGCTGGTTGTCCTGGGGGTCCCTAATTTCGGATCTAGCAGGGGGAAAGTCTCTTGGGGGGAATTCAGGTCGATTTCGGACTGAGGTTACAAGTTACTAGGTACATTGTATATAAGGAGGGGTCCGGAATCAAAAGGAACAAGGGTAGGACAAAAGGAGACAAAGGGAGATGGAAAGAGGAACAACACTGAGGGTCAAGTGTTTGACTTAATGGTGTTTCACAAAGGAGGAATGAAGGCCCAAGGCTTGGGCCAAGGAGGAAGGAAGGAGGATGGGAGTCGGGAATGGCTAGCTGACTGAATAGAAGGAAGCAGCAGCCCAAATAGGAATGAGGGAGAATAGCGGAATTGAAATGGACAATGCAATAGTTGCAAGGTCCGGAGTAAGTCTGGAAAGTCCGAACTCGGAGGTTAAACTCCAGAATATTGGCAAACATAATTAAATGGAATGAGCTAACCAATACAATGGGTATAAGCGGAGGTGGGGTCAAAGTCCGAGGTCGGAGCTAAGACCGGAGGTTCCGGAGACAGAGATGCAAACAGGATTCCGGAGCGGAGGTCCGGAGTTGGGAGCATAGGTGTTGCGTACTCATCTGGAAGGTGTCGAGGTTGGGGTCGGACCTGGAATGTTCCGGAGTCGGACCAAAGGTGGTGTTGGAGCCGGAGGTGGGATAACCTCTTGGAAGTCAGCAAGGAGGAGGTGGTGGAGGGGAAGCGGGACTCTGGAAGTCAGGTTCGGAGTTCTGGGAGCCCAGAACGGAGGTCGGGATTGTATGGATATGACACTGAGGTTACAAGTTACTATGTACATTGTATATAAGGAGGGGTCCGGAATCAAAAGGAACAAGGGTAGGATGAAAGGAGACAAAGGGAGATGGAAAGAGGAACAACACCGAGGGTCAAGGGTTTGGCTCAGTGGTGTTTCTCAAAGGAGGAATGAAGGGCCAAGGCCCAAGGAGGAAGGAAGGAGGATGGGAGTGGGGAATGGCCAGCTGACTGAATAGAAAGGAAGCAGCAGCCCAAATAGGAATGAGGGAGTATAGCGGAACTGAATGGAGCAATGCAATAGTTGCAAGGTCCGACATAAGTCCAGAAAGTCCGAACTCGGAAGTTAAACTCCGGAATATTGGCAAACATAATTAAATGGAATGAGCTAACCAATACAATGGGTATAAGCAGAGGTGGGGTCAAAGTCCAAGGTCGGAGCTAAGACCGGAAGTTCCGGAGACAGAGACGCAAACAGGATTCCGGGGCAGAGGTCCGGAGTCGGGAGCATAGGTGTTGTGCACTTGTCTGGAAGGTGTCGAGGTTGAGGTCGGACCTGGAATGTTCCGGAGTCGGACCGAAGGTGGTGTTTGGAGCTGGAGGTGGGGTAACCTCTTGGAAGTCGGCAAGGAGGGGGTGACGGAAGGGGTGATGTTCGGTCCGAGATGAGTATCGGAGTGGACAGAGATAGGGTAGGAGAAGGATGGGAGGGTGGAGGTGGCATGAGGGGTGAGGGGTGGTGTGGTGTCGGGTCTGAAGGTGAATATCAGAATGGACAGCGGTAGGGTAGGACTCTGGAAGTCAGGTTCGGAGTTCCAGGAGCCTGGAGCAGAGGTCGGGATTGTATGGATATGACACTTACAATCCATCTCTGTCAGGGATGTGTCCGGGGTCGAGAGGGCCCAGGGGTAATGTCCGGCACTGAGGCCGTCACGGGGTGTGGAGCGGGTGTGCGTACTGGCGGGCCCGATCCGGGACAGTGGTCCCTGGCCACTCAGACTGAAGTGGAGAATGTGTTATTATTATTAAAGGGGAAAACTATACTACTTACCTGAAGTGGAGAATGTGAGAAGAAGGTTACTTCTTCGGTTCCCACTTCAGGTACATTTATGTACATGCGGCTTGAGTCACATGACGGGTGCCACGTCATCCTCGGAGGCAGCTGCAGGCATCCGGGTGTCCCCGTGGGGGATCCTGAGAGTGTCCGCTGCATGCGCGCGTGTTGGGCACAGCAGGAAGCCATCCGGGGTGTGTGGGCCGGACGGGTCAATAGTACATCGATACAAAGGAAGGTGGTCCATGTAGATAGAAAGAAATAAACAGGAAGAGGAAGATGAGAAGAATGAAATAAAGAAAGGGGAAAGAAGAGGGAAAAGAAAGGGGAGGATAGGGAGGAAGGAGGGGGGATGTTAGGTACGGGTCAGCAAACGGGGACGACTGGCGGGACAAGGCTCCGGGGTTGGGCTTCGGCCTCAGCGACTCCAAGAGAGCGCTGTGCCCACCTACTGTCTCAGTGCCCACATTTCGAAGTGGCTTGGGCTGCCTTGTTAGGGGGGACAAACCATGTCGATATTCAGACTAAAGTTATAATAATGTAATATACATATATATATAGTAAGAAACTGAATGGGTCAGGTGACAAAATGAAACAAAAGGAAACAGAATAAGGGCTGGCATCTGGGTCAGAATGCATGGTCATGACAGGGGAGGGGGATAGACAGTGGGGAGCGGGTGTGGTGTGGCCGGGTGGGTCCAGGTGGACCCGGGTCAGGTGGGTGTGCCCTGACAATCTCATTGTAATACTTCCCCAGAAGGGCAATACCAGCATCAAGGGCATCATAGATATTCGTGTATCTAGGCCCTTTTCGCATTCCCTCCCAACTTGTAATAATTCCCTCATACACTGAGAGCAGGCATGGTGCACTTGAGACCTTTGATGTTCCAGAGAACGACTGCTGTGCATGAGCCGCAACCTTGCATGTGAAGATTGTCACCAGTATGCTGTGAACCATGTGCTATACTTGGGTGTGTGACCCTTTGCTTTTGGAACAGAGTCTTTGTGATCAGTGTGCTCGAGGAAATGCATAATAGCCTATGCATTGGAAAGTGAGATATGAGACAAAATCACATACTAGTATCATCATACCGGCTGCAATCCAATAAATTGTTTCAGAAGCAATAGCCATGAACCCCAGCATGTGTTTCCATACATCACAAGTTCTAGTGGTTTGATAGATACTTTGACACAACATTCTCTTAGATAATGCTTTGCACCAGGGGACTTTCGGATCTATGTCATGATCCAGTTCAGAATAAAGATTTTGTTAGTGAAGTGAGAACATAACTCACACAGACGATTAGAGTTTGAACACGGACTAACAATGGCCCAATTATGGTGCCTTCAGTAGATAGCATCTCAAGGCCAGAAAGGTCGGTTTCATCATTGTTCCCAGCATCGGCCTCCTGAGGTTCTATAGGATTGTTAGCATTGCCCATAAGAGCACAAATAAATGCCTGTTGTGCGAGGTTGACAATATGACCCATGCATCTGGAAAATATGTGACCTAAGTGAAGAAACTTTGCATACCACTGGAAATTGAAAACCTAACATGGTAATGGGAAGCATCCCATCTTGTGTTATGTTCCTTGCTGAGGATTTCACTCATCACACGCATTGCTGCATCGTTTGTTGATGCATTGTCAGAAGCGATGTACCCAATCTGTGGAGGAATGAGATTGAATTATTGATGCAGGAACAGTTAGTCAAAACTCACCTTCATTGTTGGGATCATTTCAGCGATCTCTCGTAGTAATAATGTCTTGGCAATATTATTGCCTGTGTGAGGCCCATCAAGTTCACAAAAAGACATGAGCTCAGAGTGAATGCGCCATTTGTCGTCCAAGAAGTGGCATGTTACCCTGAGGAAACCTCTCATTGTTGCAGAGGTCCATGCATCAACGGAAAAGTGAACAAGGCCAGGTGCCTCCTATGATCAAATCATGTAGTATTTTCTAGTGGCCAAAGTGGGGTGAGAAATACCTCAAGTTGTTTTTTCAAGTTCTCCATGACCATTTCTGATTGTGCAATGATGAGTTCGGTCAATTTTGTGCAGTGAGGAAGGTCCTTTTCCTTGTAGCGTGGAGAACCACCAAGGCCTGTGCAGGATTGAAACTTCATTAGGTCATGGAATGAGTTTGAGCAAAGCCCTGCATGGTGAAAGTTAGCCGAGGCGGAGTGATCAAAGAGTAACCCACAAGGTCATGTTCAATGGTTAGATTTTCAATTCTATGCAATAGACCTTCCACAGACCATGATTCTTCATCCTCAGCTGGATGATAGAAATGGGTGATTCGTTTTTGGTTGTTCCTGTGAAGGCGATACATGAAGGTTGAACCCGAAATGAATTCAATTCAATCTGCATGGCATACTTGTTTGCTGTGAAAGCTGCTTTTTGCTCTTCCTGTACAGTGCTGGGTATAGCTCTATCATCAGGTGGGATTCCAAGGGCATTACATTGCTTCAGGTAGAGCTCCCAGTGCTCTCCCCCACTACAGCTGATGTGCTTGCAAAGTGTACTTGAGCCAGAACTGGCAGAAAAGTGCGGCATTGTAATGGGTCTATTGCCTAGACTCGAGACAGAGAGAAGGGGGAGGGTGGTAGTGTGCATGGGTGTGGTTTGTGGGGCCGGGTTTTGGTCCTGGGGCGCTACCAGGTCTGCTAGAACCTCAAACAAACACTCACCTACGTCTCTCTTGGACATCAAGGCTGAGGATTCTGATAAGAGGGGTCTTAGACGTAAGCAACTAACTCAGAGGGGGCGTTAGGGTCGTGGATGGCGTCTTTGCCACTTGGATGTAACTTCTGCTTGTCCCTTCACGGGTCTATTCAATACTAACTTGTTATGTACAAGCTGTGATCTAGTTTATATATGTTTGAAATGGAATGAATGGCATGGGGGAATGTAAACGGGCCGTTAGGCAACCGTAAATGATGAATATCCAATTGGGAACAAAGAGACAATAAAAGAAATATGAATGAATGGGGAATATATGATAACAGGTCCGAAATGGAAATTGTGGGAGTTAACTCCGCAACAGCGCCCGAATATCCTCCCGTCAGCGATCTCCTCGTCTCCAGCTTTCCAACGAGCCCTTATTCATCCCAATTGGTGCAGTACTTCTTGAGATGTGGCCATTGACAGGTGCTGTCAAGACCACGTGAGACTATACTCCGTGCTGAACCATCCGGGTATGGGATTGCCATTCTGGGAAATGCTCCGGGGGTGAAGAAGGATGGTAGAGCATCACTATCGGGTAGAAAAATGGCTGGGTTGTATGTGTGGTTATGGAGATCTAGAGAGGGGGTGAAATTGGCGGCATGGTTGGGCGTGGGAATTTTGCTTGGGGTTGTCGGGAATGATGGGGAAAATAAGGGAAAATAAGGAATGAGTGTATGGAGTGTTGGATAGTGTGGGGATGAGCAATGGAAGCGTCAGAGGGTATGTGGTGTATGTTGGTGGCCAAATTCCGCAGAATCCGACTTTTTGCGGTGCACAGAGTTGTCCCCACAACAGCGTCAACAGTTTTGACCGGTTCCCTTTGTCATAAGCAGATCTATAGCACATGTATGTTCATCATTTAACAGAATAATGAATATATTGAAACTTACCTGCACACTTGGCACACGCGATAGCTTTTCTGCCCATTGTGAATAACTTCCGTGAATACTGTTTCAAGGTCTTGCATCCCTTGCGCTTTCTGAGACAGCTTAACCGCTTCAGCAGTGCATGCATCTTCACATGCAAATGCTTCTGGATCCTCATTAGCCCAAGGTACAGGCTCCTCATCCCCATCTCCACCTGTCTCATTTTCAGACCCAGATACAAGTGCCGGAGCCTCAGGCACTGCAATACTAGTTCAGGTTCGCTTCAACGCTTTCTTCCCCTGGCCAGACCTGCCCCGCTTCCCCAAATTATTCCCAGCTGACTCTGTCTGATGCCGAAGATTCCTGGGAGGATGTTGGAACATTGATGATCCCGGCCATCTTCACATGCCGTTTTGGGTTGCTAGGCTTGTTCACCTGAGCCCTATTCTTTGGCAGGGTTTGCAGAGAAGCATTGATGGCCAGGTCTCTGCTCCATGCTTCACCAAGCCAATTTTTTCCCTTTGCAGCAAGTTTTTGCTGTTTGAATGCTTCAATTGGATTTTCCCAAGTGATATGCTTGATAATCCATTTGGGTCTCTGGGCCATCCGAAAAGAAGCAGGCAAGTCATCATCTGGGTCATAGCCCTCAGAATTGGAGATATGGTTTGGCAGGAGGACTGAAGGACTGTAGACAAACTGGTCCGGTTTATCGGCAGCATCATGCAGTTTACCATCTTTACCCAGCATAGGATTTTCAGGGTCTGTATGCCACTTGCTTTCATTGCCACAGAGAGTTTCCATTTGCCAAACAGAGGGTGTATAGATTTTTGTTTTTCAATTTCTCGGCCAACCCCAAATGTGTTGATTTTTGTCAGGGGACGACTCCTGGGTCCCCATGACCCTCCCCTATGGCCCACAGCCTCAAGTCTGGCCAGCCCTATCCAGGGCACAATCCTACTGTGGGTCAGAGATGATATATAAAAGAGAGGCAAGTATATACAACTTGCCTACTGTGGGTCAGAGATGAGAAGGAAGTTAACTTCTCATCTTCCCACAGTGGCCACAATACATTGAAAACTTCCGGAGATATCCGGAAGTCACATGAGACCCGAGACCCGAGGTCCGGGCCATCTGGCTGCACTGAGCGTCCGGCACAGGGCACGCATGGGGAGTGCAACAGCCGGGTGCAGTTGCGGGTGCGGGTGTGAGTGCAGGTGTGGATGCAGGTATGGGCTAGGTCAGGGTGTATGCCCTGACAATTTTGTAAAAATTTCCATGAAAAAATTGTATGAATGCATGCTTAACATTACATTTCAATAGCTAAATCCTTTGATGGTTCTGCAGTTCAGTTTGGTTCAGAACTGGTTCACAATATCCCCCAACATTCAGAACCAGAACCAAACCGTGGTTCGGTTCTGCTGCAGTTTGGTTCCCAGTTCGAACCGGTTCGGAACCAGTTCTCTGTGAACTTCAGCACCCTAGTGCTGAGCACACCACAGCCATACTACGGGTTGCGCACGAGGATGCGACTAAGGATGACACTGTGCATCTTAGCAAAGTCTCACAGATCGCTGACCCAGTGGAGTATTTCACTTGGGATTCCGGATATGAATCTGACGACACTGCAGTTGACAGTGAAGCGCCTGAGTGCGCCAGACTCACTATCTCACATGAAGCCATTCCTGCCATTATGCCACACGAAAAATGAGTCAATGATTTGATTTATCACTATCCTATCATACATCGAGGTTACATGATGACGAAAAATCCCAGTGTTAAACTTTGTGCTGATCCCGCAGAAGCGCTTGAGTGCGCAGGTACTCTATGCTCACCTGATTTCTTTGATGATGGATACAAACGTCCACCTGAGAAAGACCCAGACAAGGTCTTAAGCACGAACCAGAATGCAGGCAATGAGCTGGCCCGAGCATGCGAGTCTGAGTTGACTCAAGTGGCCAATTGCATGTTAGTCACCGAGTTCCAGGTTGACATTTGCAGACTAGAGACGTCAGAGCACTCTCTCATCATCCTAGAACACACTGTAGTCGTCAGAGAGCCCACACCAGACATGACAAGCAAGTTTGGTGGCAAGCTGGACAAAGCACGAGTCAGAACAGTAGCACCAGAGTGCGCTGAGCTTAAATCAAAAGAGCTAAGGCCTCCCAGCCTCAGTGACGAGCTTGATTGGTCTCATACGACGTCGATCTCAGTACCAGAAGAGATTCCAGACGGTTTTGGCCGAGTTCCAGCAAAGAGAGTTGAGGAGATGACACGAGAGTGCATCGCTAAAAGAGCTAAGGCCTCCGGCCCCAGCACTCCTCTTGATGATGAATCCATGCAAAGCTTTGAGCTAGATGTTTCCAAGAGTTGTTGCATGCCAGCAACCAAGTTTAGTGCCCCAGAGTTTGAAGTTGCAGAGTCCGATGTCCCAGACTCGACTTCCGCAAACTGGGCCATGCATCCCCCCACATCACTTCATATGCATAAAGCACAGCTGTTAGCCAAAGAGAGACCCCAAGTAGTGCCTAGTCACATATATGACATGAGTGTTGTTGATCAGTCCCAGAGAAAAGCATCGCTTGTGATTGCTTCCTTGCAGTGAGCAGCATCCAAGCCACCAAGGATATGAGGACACATGTTGCCCCAGTGAATCCCAGCGACATAGATGATGACCACTACAATGGGAAAGCAAGCCCTCGTTGCTTAATCAAAGTTCTAGTGATGACACTTGCTGAATGTCAGGGGATGCCTGGTTATCCGGCCCCCCTTTACTCTAAGCGATATCAATGATGTAATCATTAGCCGAGATTGCGTGAGATAATTACGTAGTTAGAATGCAGATATAACTCATTGCGCTATATTTGCTATCATGTCACCCCTTACCCAATATTCCCTCATTTCCCGCATCTTCTATCTTCCTATTTGATGTCATGCTTCTATCAGTTACCATCTTCCCAATGTAACTGCGCTCTCCTGAGTTAGCAGAACTCATGTACATAAGGCTACTATGCCAGCTGGGCTAGCCCCCCAGCTTTGATATCGACTAGTTTCCTGGGGATACTCTTATGCTGTGAATAGACGCGCAGACTCTGACACTGAAGCACAAAGCATTGAGTCCGCTAGCACTCTTGATGCAGTTGAGATTTCCAATGCAGTACAAAAGCAGAAGCCTCCTGAATAGCTGGAGTGATTTCATACGATTATGATGCAATGCATAGCAGTAGCAAAGTGAAGTCTGAGATCAGGACTGAATATACCTGTTGACAATACCTCTGTGCACAATGAGGATATGTGTAAGGTCAGTTGAGGTTCCGACCTTGGTGTTGACTCTTGCTATCCTGTCAGAAGTTAGGCAGTATAGAGCTTTATTTCGACAGGGGAGGAGAAGAGTGAAAACCTGTTTCACCCTTCCCCGCAATTTATATACATTGTTTACATCGAGAAATAAAGAGTAATAAACAATGAATAAAGAAAGCATGCACAGCACACATCACCACACATCCATTCCCTACAATACTATGTCACAAGTGTATTTATGCACACAATGTTTATTTATTTTGGTCGGAGTCCCCAGGACGTGGATTGCATACAATGGACATGTTTAGATTTGAGGATATTGTGAGGGACCATGATAAAGAGCTAGGCCTGATGTAGGCAGGCACAGCTGGTACTGCACAAACAAACCAAATATCGCAATTTCCCCATGGTGGTCCTTACAGGTTGTAACAGGGAAATCATCCCAACATCACACAGGCTCACAGGGGGGACAGTAGTCTCATGGCCTCACTGACTGTCACTAAAAGAAGGTCCTTAGAGTATGGTGTAGTAGGTGTCATGGCTGTATAGTTGTGGCTGTGCAGTCACGGGATCTCCCCAACTACACTCACCACTGTATGTGCATGAAAGAATGTGAAAGAGCTTGTTTTGTAGTGCAAGGGTTTATCCCTGCAACATCACCCAGGCCCGGAACTCATAGAAGGAGAAGAAGAGTATGATGTTGAGAGGATACTGGACTCTAAGTGGCTATGCTGGAAACTCTGTGAAGGGTGTCTTACTATTTTGGGGACAGTAACATTTCGTTCCCCCGTTCACCTCAGGCCTCAGTAGGTCTGTCTAAACATAAGCTTTGATGGGCTGTATATTCAATGGGGTAGAGGTAAAAGGCTACTGGGCCTTTACAACTACTCCGAGGTATATATATGTAAATTACATATCTCGGCACAAATAAATAAAGAAATAATAGCATCACTATAATCGGAATTATAGTGAAGTAAGGTTAATCCCTTACATCCTCCTCCCTTGCAATATTGAATCGCAGACAGGGTACAAGCATATGAAAGGGAAAGCAAGCAGATTAAGGAAATATAACACTCTACATTCAAAGAATGTACGCAAACGGGGGCACTGTCAGAAGAACGTTCCTTGGATAGGTCCGATTGCTATCCAGGTGACTGTCAAAGCCATGTGAGGAGGGCAGTGTCCCTGGACCTTTCCCCGGAAGGAGGCTGGAGGTAGAGAACGAGCGGAGGGACCGTGGCCTCAGCGACTTGGAGAGGAGCACTGTGCCTATGTTCAGTAAACGCTTAGGAGTCTGGTCCTTAACTTCAGAACAAGAGGGCGCGAACTCTGGGGGGTAGTCTAGTCGTCGATTTTGCACTGAGGTGCCATCAACTACAGTACAGGACTTATATACATAATGGAAGACAAATGGGAACAAAGGGGAAAACCCAAGGGGGACTTACCCACTTGCCGGGTCAGTGAGCTCGTGAGAGAATTGCCTTATCAGGCATTGTGGAGTGAGTGGGTGAAGGGTGGAATTAGCGACAGCTACTAGAAGTGGGAAAACCTTTGTAGAGTGGGCAGAGGTCCTAGGAGGTCTGTAGTAATATTGGGTAGATAGAAATATTAATAATCGTGTAGGATGAGAATAAGAGGCACTGGAGAAGGTACCGGAGATTGGAGGCAGAGTGTCAGGGGACGACTCCTGGGTCCCCATGACCCTCCCCTATGGTCCACAGTCTCTGGTCTAGCCAGCCTTATCCAGGGCACAATCCTACTGTGGGTAAGGAGATGTATAAATAAAGGCAATGTAGAATACACTTGCCTACTGTGGGTAAGGAGATGAGAAGGAAGCTAACTTCTCATCTTCCCACAGTGGCCACAATATCAGCAAAACTTCCAGGGATACCTGGAAGTCACATGAAGGGGTAGGAACTGGGCCCGGAGCACCGCGTGCAGGAAGTGCGGCAGGTGGAAGCGGGTCCGGATGTGGGTCCGGGTCCAGGCTAGTCAGGGTGTGTGCCCTGACACAGAGGTGAACCGGAGGGTATAGCGGAGGTGTGGGGGGGGAGGACGGACCGGAGGTGGACTGGAGGTGTGGTGGAGTAGAGTGGAGGTGAGGCGGTGTCAGGGCACACCCGCCTCACCTGGCTCCACCCGGCTCCACTCCACCCACTACCCCCTTCTCCCCCTTCCTATCTCCTCCTCCCTCCACTTCCCCCTCTTCCTGTTTCTTCTCTGTCTCATTCTCTATTCTTCCTATTTCTATTTACATGGACAACTTTCCTTGATCAATGTACTACTAACCTGCCCGCAACCCATGCATGACGCACCCAGCCCCGGATGCTCCGGATGACCCCCGGGTACACCCAGCATGCACACCTGCAGCGATAAACATACCTGGGGTGGGAACCAGAGAAGCAGTCTTCTTCTCACCATTCCCACTTCAGGTAAGTAGCTTAGTTTTCCTTCTAATGATAATTAACACCATTCCCACTTCAGGGACATCTGCCTGCGCCGGACCCATCACCATACGCGCCTGCTTCATACCCCACTGGGCCCTCAGTGCCGGGTGATATACCTGGACGCTCTCAACCCTGGACTGGTCCCTGACAGGCAGAGTTGGTATGGATATGACAGCGATGCTGTCTGGTGGAGCTGGTATTCCAGGTCATCCGATGGGGGGACGGAGACAGGCTGGAGGTGGGGTGGAGCTCCGAGGGCAATGGGGTGTTGAAGGGACTTGGCTTCAGCAACTCGGAATGGAGCGCTGTGCCCGTTATGTTCTCATTGTCCCCAATTTGCCAGGGGAGCTGGTGATGGAGGAACTGAGGCCCCCAGCATGGAGGCCCCCCTTCACTGCTTAATGATGGAGGTGTTAGCGAGGGTCAATCATTCGTCATGCGATTTGTTTGGGTTTATACCAAGGCACCTTAGACACGCCCATTACTCAGTTCTTAGTTCTGGGTAGAGTAGCAGATGAGTGGGACGTGATAGACGTCCTAGAGGAGGTTTTTCGAGGGGCTTAAGACTTCTATATTATAACTGGGGGAACTATTTACTGGAGGGGTATGCATGTACATATATCAGAACAGTTTCGATCCGAAGGTAAACAAAGGTTACCAAGGGGTAGGGGAAGTAAATAGAAAGAATCCACATGACAAATAAGGAATAGGCAAAAAGCCTGAATTACATCTGAGGTTTGTGGAGTGGGAGAATAAAAGCCAACTGAATGGCAAGGCCCGGAATCGTCTAAGAATGAGCAAGGGACTACAGAGGACAGCGTCTGGAAAGGTCCGGAGCCCGGAAGTTGTAGTCTGGAAGATTGGGGTTATAGAAAATATAAAATGATAAAACAATAAAGGTTATCAAGACCAGAGGTACCAGAAATAAGAAAGAGAGTGGATAGGCAAGTTGAGGGTTATCAACAATGAGCAGGTCCATCTCCTTTGAATGAGGGGTCCAAGGAGGTGGAGGTGTGGTAGTGGAGGTAATGCAGACATAGATGGGAGGCAGAGTGGGAGAGTGTCGAAGGAGGAGGTAGTCCTAGGGCCGTTGGCATCGACTGGAGGCAGCAGAGAGAGGTTGGGAGGGCTGGCGGAGGTCATAGGAGTCGTATAGGAATAGGGTGGAGGGAGGTGGAAGATCCGGGATATGACAGGCACACTCATTGCAGGAGGCTATAATAGTAGTTTGTAGGCAAAGCCCACTTAGAGTTTCTCCTGGAACATATGCACCCAGATCTCGATGACAGTGTTGTTGACAATGAGGTGACTTTCTTGTCGCTGCGATTGTAGGAAATCATAAAAGGAAAAACGGCTTCAACGCCGTTGAGAACAAGTCATTAAATACCATCGTCGATAGTGATGATGTCAAAAGTTGTGGTTGTCGATGGGTCAACAAAGAATAATCAACGACGACATTGTTGTTGATGAAGGAGGAATGGTACAAAGTAGATAATCAATGACAGCATTGTCGTTGATGAAGGTAGGGATATGAGGGGATCAGTTCCTCATCCATTTGCGCAGCGCAGACCCGGACAGGCCAGAGCTGGATGGGCGATTTGATGTGGTCCTATGAGTCATCATGGACCTTGCTGCATCAATAGTGACATCGTCACTGAGATAGTTGTCATCGTAGTGATGAGTCTTGATGTCAGCGTCGTTCATGGATGAATCCTCATCTTGATGATGGTGCAAGTAATGGACATGGTGCATGGGATGGCTGTGCCCATGGGAAGTGGAGGGAGCATGCCCATGCACTGGTGGTGCATGGGCAGATTTGTACACTGACAAGTGTGCATACGTTGGAGGGGGGTACTGTGGCAGAGGGTTCGCATACATCACAGGTGGGTTTGAGTACGATGTTGGGGGAGGGTTTGAGTACATAAGTGCTTGTTCTTGACACTGAATTTTACGATGGTCACAAGCGTCAGTCATTGGTTTTATCCATCTACATGCGAGGATGTACATCCGTGTGATACAAGCCAGAGGATACTGGTTGGGAAGTCTTTTTGCCTCCATCTCAATGTTGTCGCATGACATATGCATTCGTGAGGTGCGGTTGTTCGTAGCCACCCTGTACCAGTCGGTGCAGGTGTCGACGTCCTCTTGCAAGGGCTTGCCTGTCTTGAACAACCAGGCAAGATGATACATCGTAGTGTAGAATCTCACACCTTCTTCGGTGTGATGTAGTTACGAACCAATTTGAACCACTTAGGTTCTTTGTTGTGGAGAAGCGCAGCCGCATCTGGGAATTCGATTCTATCGACATGGTCAATGTCGTAGAAGTGGGTAGGGATGACCACTGATCGATAATATGTCGGTGCAGGTAGAGGTTTGCCATGCACTTCAGTGAGCTTGGCATCGTAGTATTTGTAGTAGTGATAACTGGGTGGACTGT